GACCTATCACTGTGGTGTCGTCCGTGAACTTTAGGATGATGTTGTCTTTGTGGGAGGCGACACAGTCGTGGGTGAACAAGGTGTAGAGGATGGGACTGAGGACACATCCCTGTGGCGTGCCTGTGTTTGTGTAACAATGCTGGCTGAAATCCTATTGCCAATCCTGACAGTCTGGGGCCTGCCAGTCAGAAAATCCAGGAGCCAGTCAGAGGGTGGAGTGCAGACCCAGTGTGGACAGTTTGTGGGTGAATTTGTGGGGGACAACTGTGTTGAAGGCGGAGCTGTAGTCAATGAAGAGTATCCTGATGTAGGAGTCTCCATTTTCCAGGTGAGAAAGGAATAGTAGAGGGCAGCTGTGATGGCGCCTGAGGTGGCCCTGTTGGGCCAGTAGGCATACTGCAGGAGGTCCAGGGTGTCCGGTATACTGCTCTGAATGTGGGCCAGCGCCACTCGCTCAAAACACTTCATAATGATTGGGGTGAGTGCCACTGGCCTGTAGTCGTTCAGGCAGGTGACCGGTGACTTCTTGGGAAGGGGGATGATGGTTGTGGTCTTAAAGCAGGCGGGAACGATGCTCTGGCTGAGGGGGCGATCTTTCTGTGCTGTGGCTGGAAGTCTCAAAGTGGGTGTAGAAGGTGTTGAGGTCATCCGGCAGGCTGTTGGTGGAGCTGATGATGGTGGTGGTCCTGTAGTCTGTGATGTGCTGCAGGCCTTGCCACATGTGTCTGGAGTCAGCAGTAGAATAGAAGCCATTCATCTTCTCTCTGTACTGCCTCTTGGCCGCTGTGATGGCTTTCTTCAGTCTGTACTTCGCAGCTTTGTATGCAGTCTCATCGCCTGATCTGAATGCATGAGAGCGAGCACGCAACATGTGGCGTACCTGACTGTTTATCCAGGGCTTCTGGTTGGGGAACCTCCTGACTTGTATGGTGGGCACAATGTTGTCGATGCAGGTACTAATGTACCTGGTCACATACTCAGCATAATCCTGTACACTGACAGAAACGTCCCCAAAGGTGGCTGCAGCTTTAAACACATCCCAGCACATTTTAGCAATAAAAACTCTACGTCCGGCGAACAGTGCTTATAAACAGTCCGTACATCTCCACACCACTAGTTATTGATAAACACACACACCACCTCGTTTTACCTTCTTCGAAGCAGCAGTGTGGTCACCTCGATGTACAGAAAGTGTTTGTAGCTGAATCGCGGAATCTGGGACTCTTGTCGATGCACCTTTCGCTGCAATTACAGATTCTCAATAGGATTTAGGTCTGGACTTGGACTGGGCCATTCTAACACATGAATATGCTTTGATCTAAACAATTCCATTGTAGCTCTAGCTGTATGTTTAGGGTCGTTGTCCTGCTGGAAGGTGAACCTCCACCCCAGCCCCAAGTCTTTTGCAGCTTCTAGCAGGTTTTCTTCCAGGACCTTCTTCCACATGTTTGCTTTATCCCTTACATGGCTTGTGGAAAACTACAAACGGGACTTACTGCTTTCTTTCAACAATGGCTTTCTTCTTGCCACTCTTCCATAAAATCCAGATTTGTGGCGTACACGACTAATAGTTTTCCTGTGGACAGATTGTCCCACCTGAGCTGTGGATCTCTGCAGCTCCTCCAGAGTTGGTTGTAATGTGACAAAATGTGGAAAAAAAATCAAAAGGTATGAATACTTTTGCAAGGCACTGTACTTATCATGCTGGTCATTTTAATACTTATTTACTTAATTTACCTGATATTAACTGGGGAAAATTGCTCAAGAATGTCTTCATGTTTTGATGGTGTGTAGGCTGTCTATGAGCCTGCAAGCTGTGTACCACAGTGGAAACGAAATGTAGTACATCAGAATATGATTTATGTGAAAGGGCTGTAATAGTTTGCTGATGGGACATACAGGCATCATCACTGCTGCACGGTTTCATTTTGCAGTTGCCAAATTATATTAATTTTGTGATCACATTTCTGAGATTTAGGTGAATATTACATTAATCTTACCATCTATTTTAACTAACCAATGCGCTCAAGTACTTTCAACATTATTAGAACATGAAATAAAATGGAAAATAGATGAAAAATAATCCAGTCAAATTTACATAAAATGTAGCTCAGGTACTTGTAGCTGAGCCACTGGCAGTTACAGTCTGGTGGGGCTGAACTGACTGTCACCATACAGATTTACAAATAGTGAATAGCCATATACACAGTGGGTACGGAAAGTATTCAGACCCCCTTAAATTTTTCAATTTTTCACTCTTTGTTATATTGCAGCCATATGCTAAAATCATTTAAGTTCATTTTTTCCTCAATGTACACACAGCACCCCATATTGACAGAAAAACACAGAATTTTTGACATTTTTGCAGATGTATTAAAAAAGAAAAACTGAAATATCACATGGTCATAAGTATTCAGACCCTTTGCTCAGTACTTAAGTAGAAGCACCCTTTTGAGCTAATACAGCCATGAGTCTTTTTGGGAATGATGCAACAAGTTTTTCACACCTGCATTTGGGGATCCTCTGCCATTCCTCCTTGCAGATCCTCTCCAGTTCTGTCAGGTTGGATGGTAAACGTTGGTGGACAGCCATTTTCAGGTCTCTCCAGAGATGCTCAATTGGGTTTAAGTCAGGGCTCTGGCTGGGCCATTCAAGAACAGTCACGGAGTTGTTGTGAAGCCACTCCGTTATTTTAGCTGTGTGCTTAGGGTCATCGTCATGTTGGAAGGTGAACCTTCGGCCCAGTCTGAGGTCCTGAGCACTCTGGAGAAGGTTTTCGTCCAGGATACCTCTGTGTATTCATCCTTCCCTCGATTGCAACCAGTCGTCCTGCCCCTGCAGCTGAAAAACACCCCCATAGCATGATACTGCCACCACCATGCTTCACTGTTGGGACTGTACTGGACAGGTTGATGAGCAGTGCCTGGTTTTCTTCACACATACCGCTTAGAATTAAGGCCAAAAAGTTCTATCTTGATCTCATCAGAC